GTTTTATACTTTGACATCACATCTAAATAAATTAGGAATGAGAATCTACCTGATTTTATTAACAGGATGGCATTTGAAGATTTCTGTAAGTTCTACACAGATCTTGACATCTGTGGCCTGAAACCAGACTTCATAGATGGAAAATCCTCTGCTCAGTGGAAGACCTCTGTGTACGAGGGTCGGTGGGTTGCTGGAACTACTGCTGGAGGCTGCATAAATAACAGAGGTAATTATATAGCATATACTGGAATATAGGTGTTTAAATGTTCAGCAGAACATAATTTTTTAATCTTCAATTCATGTAAATAAAACATATTTTTCCCTCTATGTCCTCCAGACACTTTCTGGACAAATCCACAGTATCGAATTAAGGTCGTAGGTGAAAACTCAGAGACCAATGGGGAGAAAAACATCCTAGTGTCTCTCATGCAAAAGCCTGACAAGAGGAACAGACGCCTGGTGCAGAACCTCCACATTGGTTTTTCTGTATATTTGGTAAATATTTCTCTTTGTCATATCATTCATACATGCATAACTATGGTGAAAACAAAAACCACGTTGAAGTTGACATTTTCAGAGCATGAAAATGTATTTAACTATTGTCAGAACTTGTATCGTAATGTGGAAACAACAATAATAATGTGGTGTTGAAATGCAGAAAATGACAGATCAAAAATTTACTACAACATAAAAAAACATTTTGTTAGCAAGCCAAGCTTTAATAATATGCTGTCCAAGCATTCATACAGTGGCTGTGCACATGTTGAAATAACTAACTAACGACTAACTGAATTATTGTTTATTCCCAACATGAACAAAATTCATCTGACGTCCTTCAAGGTGTCCGAAGACGTAAGAAACTAATTTAATCTATTTCATGTTTATAATACACATATGGTGATGTGAAAAGGAAAGTACACTGTCTTTCACTATTAAGGTTCTGTGTATCTGTATGCGCTGATACATAAAACCTTCAAGTTGACATGTCTGTACGCACTTCAGAAACTTCTTCAAATGAAATTGGGGAGCTGAAATATCACTTTGAATAATTTCAGTACAAAACGCAAAGTGGGAAGTTTCCAGCAATGTTCTTCAACACCCATCTGCCTGTTGCTCGGAGTGATAAATACATGAATGCCCGTGAGGTGATAGAGTTCCTTATGCTGAAGCCTGGTGAATACCTGATTGTGCCATCCACCTTCAAACCCAACGAGACAGCCTCCTTCATCCTCACCATCCACTCAAGAGAAGAGACTTGTTGCTAGTATGCTCACTGTTGATGTCTGATGATATGACATAAAAAATTTAAAACAAAATTTGCATTTGACACATTACAGTTGATTTCTATGAAAGTAATGCATATTGGTCTCCCCACAGTGAGAATTCAAATTCAAATGAGCAAAGATATGAGCCAGTTGAAAAGGTTTGTAACAAATCATTTAATTGTGTCCGTGTTATTTTGCTGTTCATGTGTTATTAATGTGAACTGTTGACTCGTCAGGTCACAAAAGTAAAAAACCATCAGGATGAAGAAAACAAGAAAACATTCTTCCGTCAATACTCTGACAAGGTCATTAAAAAAGATCTTTTTGCTAATAGTATTAGCCACATTACTGCAATATTACAAGTTTATATAGCATTATGTGTCTAACGTCTGTGTGATGTATCAGGTAGTAAACCAAATCAATTAATGTTTCAGTATGAAGAAGTGGATGCTGAGCAGCTCCAGAGGCTTCTAAATGAAAACATCCTGAAAGGTTTGGCCTTTAAAAAGTCTGTCAAGCTCAATTTAAATTTACTGGGCCACCTACACATGGCTGTTTGGCCATGGGAACCCATTCCATGAAGCTCCTTGTGCACAGGTTTTGTGCTGATGTTATTGCCAGAGGAGGTTTGGAGCCCTGTAAATACTTTTGTTCATATAGCGGAGTTTCCAGGTCTGACCCGTCCAATTTATAAATCAGTATTATTTCCTGTAAGCCTTCATTGGACTCTGGCAAACTCTGGTTTATGAGAATATGACTCTAACTTATTAATACAAAATTAACTGTGGTCCACATTAGTGTAAACATCAGTAATACAGCAGGGTGTGCAAGACCCTCAGTTTCTTAGTCGCCATGGCTACTTCGACATGCAGTCTATGACTCTGAATACTGTGGATGACAATTGTGCTACACTGTCTTTGCTAATTCAACTCTGTTTTATTTAGGAGAAATGAAATCTGGAGGGTTCAGCCTTGATGCCTGTCGCAGCATGGTGGCTCTAATGGATGTATCCTGTTATAATACATGTGATACTGGAAAAAGCAGATTAAGAAACTTTGTAGTTTGCCTTTCTGAGCTGTTGAAAAGTAACAATGAATCTTTGTAGGTACATAACAGAAGAATAGTCTATGTGTAAGCAAACCTGAGTGCTTCTCTGTTGATATAACCAGCATTACTCATCTGAAAGACCAGACTAAGATTTGTCCCTTTGCTACCTTAATGTGGGTTTTAAAAGACATCGATCACAGGCAAACTAAACAGTGAGGAATTCGTCCGTCTGTGGAACAAGGTCACCAAGTACAAGGTAAAGGGAAAAAAACAGCCTTAAAACATATATCAATACATCTGCTATAGATGTGAAGATTTTCCCTGATCAGTTTCATGGTTTCAGTCTTCTCTTATCAGGAGACTTTCTTCCTCACCGACGTTTCAAAAACAGGAACGCTGTCACTGAGTGAGCTGAGGAATGCATTTGTAGCTTCAGGTATATGTTTATAGTTATATGTGTGTATATATATGTACATGTGTGTATATGTATGTATATATACATATATGTGTGTGTATTAGTGTATATATTAGTGCTGTCAGCGTTAATCTCGTTAAAATAATGTTAACGCCATAACCCAGAGCTTCCCAAAGTGTGTGGCCCACCCCCTAGGGTGGGGCGCAGAGCCATTGCAGGGGGTATGAAAAGGAAAAAAAAAAAAAAGGACACTTGGACACTGCTAGCATAATGGACAGGTTTTTGACGGGTGTCCACACAAACGCAAAGCAGGAGATGAAGCATCGCCAAATATGTTTCCAAACCAACTTAATTCTAAGCCAAAGACTAGAAAATACGATGAAGCATATCGTGTGTGTATGTAAGCGTGTAAAACCTGAAGATGGAGACAAAATACTGTTTATCTGCCATTCTGCAATTCATCTCATGTTTAATTGTTTACTAAATGTTTGAGGTGTGAAATAAACTGTTGGTGTTTGAAAACAAAATATGGGCGTGTGTGGCTGGAGGATGTGTTTGTGCATGCGGGGGGCGAACATTTTTCTTGTAAAACAAAGGGGGCCCCAGCAAAAAAAAGTTCGGGAACCACTGCCATAACTACATTAACGCGGCAAATCTTCATTAGCAAGATAGCGCGGATTGACCCGTGCGTGCAGCTGGACGGCGCGTTAACATCATTTTAACGAGATTAACGCTGACAGCACTAGTATGTATGTACATATATCTCAGCAAACTCCTCCTGAAGTCTGACTGTGTGTGTTCTTCAGGAATGAAGGTTTCAGATGACATGCTCAGTCTGATGGCTCTGCGCTATGGCGCCTCCTCTGGACACATGGCACTGGAGTGCTTCATCAGTCTCATGATTCGCTTGGACTGCATGAAGAGTAAGTGAAGCCGAGAAGAAATAACAACAGTAGATGTGTAGATAGCTGAAAATAAATCTCATGCAGTGAGAATGAAAAGTTTTTTCAGTTGAAAACATCTTTCTCGCTTCTAAGATTTGATTAAGGTTCATGATTTGTACAGTTTAAACTCAAAGTTGTGTTCTTCAACAGAAATCTTCAAACAGTTGTCTGATGGAAAATCCATTAATCTCAAGGAGTCAGAGGTAATAAAGTCACTTTAGTGCTGACAGAGCAAACGAATAAATAAATATAAATATTTATACAAAGAAAACGCATCAGTTTAAGTGATACTTAAATGTTAATAAATAATCTGTCTTATTTTCAGTGGATGTACGTTTCCATGTACACTTAAGCCAGCTGAAAGAAAGATGCACGTTTCATCTGGAAAACACAAGAAGATATTTCAAAAACTTGTTTTCTGTGAATTAGCTATAACACTTTATTACTTTGAAACAACTAAACACAATAATGTGAAACTATAACAAACACTATCATTTAAAGCTGTAAACCATATGCCTCTCTGCATATTATGTCAAAGACTGAATAACTGCATTTTTTTGTGACTAGTACTGCAAACTTGTCAATCTGTGTTTTATAATAGAAACATAATACAGATGTTCGTGAATGACATGGGACTATTGTATCAGTCAAAAATGAATGAAGTGGATGGGAAATTAACCTGATAAGATAACTACAAAAACTCGGAAAATGGAAATTCAAAGGAAGAAAATGTCAAATTTAACTAGTACCTTTGTTTTTATATGTAATTTTCTATATCAGCTGCTTTTTAAAATTCCTTTTATATTGGGGAAAGGAAGTACCAAACTTCAGTGGGTCAGTTTCAATAGTGAGAGGTTGCGTTCTCCTCCTTTCAATGAAGCATTGCCTTTGTGATCTTCAGAAATTTTCTTTTTTCCAGCAGCTGGGATTTTTTTTAATCTTATCATTTGTTTTGTGGGTTTTGATATATTTAGCTGCATAATTGCCTGTTAAAGTTACATTTTCTTAATAAAATCATGTGTTATTTTGTAGATTTGCCATCTTTGATTTTTCTTTGAGAGATCTTCTTTTACCCAGACACTTTTATAGATACTTCCCTTTATTACATTGAATGCTTTAGACATACTAAAAAACGTCTAAAGCATTTAGACATTTGCTTACATAAGGATGTCTATAAATGCAGGTGACACCGAGGCACCCTAGGCAGTAGGTCAATGATCAATTTTTATTAACGTATCACCAGACCTGTGGCCATATGTTCTGAGCACTCGGGTGAAGGGTCGGGCTGAGCTGTCACCTGATCAGTTGTGAGTTGGATTAGGTGGTGGAAGATGATGCTGGACAGACCTAGCAGTATAGTGAGGGTGTGCTGGGAATGCTTAGCAAAGGTCCTGGTCCGCGAGATCTTCAACTCACACCACCGGCAGAGCTGCAACAGCATTCCAAGGGAGATTGGGGGACACTGAGTCCAAATAGACCGTGTTCAGCGCCTCCATTGCTAAAGCCGCTGTGGCTGCAAGGTGATTGGTGCCTGTTGTGGTGGTAACCCCCGAACCAAATGGAGGAAACCCGAGGTGAAGGGAGCCACCAGACTGAAGGAGAAGTCCTATTGGGCTTGGTTAGCCCGTGGGACTTTGGAAGCAGCCAGTAGGTGCCAACAGGCCAAGCAGAATATGGCTTGGGCAGTGCCTGAAGCAAAAATTCAGGTATGAGAGGAGTTTGGAAAGGCCATTGAAAAAGACTTTCAAACTGATGGAAAACTGTTGAGTGACTTGGGAGGGGAAAGCGATACTCTACCTGCACTGTGTATAGTGCAGGCGGAACGTAGCTGACTTCAACTGAGAACATTGTTGGGTGGTGGAAGGAATACTTCGAGGACCTCCTTAATATCAATGGCACATCTTCTGCTGAGGAAGCAGAGTGTTGGGAAGAGGAGGACAACTCGTTTATATTTGAGGGTGAGGTCACTGAGACAGTAAAACAACTCCTTGGTTGCAGGGCCCCTGGGGTGGATGAGGATCGCCCTGAGTTGCTAAGGGCTTTGGGTGTTGTAGGGCAGTCTTGGTTGACACACCTCCAAATGTTCCATGGAGATCGAGGGCGGTACATCTGGACTGCTAGACCAGAGTGGTGGTTCACATCTTTAAGAACGGGGACCGGAGGGTGTATTCCAACTATAGGGGGATCACACTCCTCAGCCTCCCTGGGAAAGTCTATGCCAGTGTTGGAAAGAAGAGTCCGTTTGTTAGTCGAATCTTAAATACAGGAGGAACAAAGCGATTTTCGTCCTGGTCGTGAAGAACTTGCAACTTAGAAATGTATTTATTGTCATTGTACAGTGTAACACTGGACCAGCTCTTTAGCCTCTCAAGGATACTTGGGGGTGCATGGGAGTTTGTCCAACTAGTCCACATGTGTTTTGTGGACTTGGAAAAGACATTCGACTGTGTCCCTCAGAGTGTGGGAGGTGCTTTGGTAGTATTGATTGTCTTGCCCATTGCTACAGGCCATTCAATCCTTATACAACCATTGCAAGAGCTTGGTGCCCATAGCGGTCATCTGGTTCTGTTGGCTTTATGGGGTGGTTTCCAGCTCGCACTGGAAAGGTTCACAGCTGAGTTTAAAGTGGTGGAAATGAGAATTAGCACCTCCAAATCTGAGGCCATGGTCCTGAGCTGGAAAAGGGTGGAGTGCCCACTCCGGGTCATGGATGAGTTCCTGCCCCAAGTAGAGGAGTTCAAGTATCTTGTTCCCAAGTGATGGGAGAAAGGAATGGGAGATCAACAGATGTATTGGTGCTGCGGCTGCAGTGATGCAGACACTATTCTGGTCCGTCGTGGTGAAGAGAGAGCGGAGCATAAAAGCAAAGCTCTCGATCTACCGATTGATTACTACCTTCACCTATGGTCACGAGATGTTGTGACCGAACGAACGAGATTGCAGATACAAGCGGCGGAAATGGCTCCCTCTGAAGGGTGGCTGGCCTCTCCCTTCGCGATAAGGTGAGGAGTTCGGCCACCCAGGAGGGGCTCAAAGTAGAGCCGCTGCTCCTCCACATCGAAAGGAGTCAGTTGAGGCTGTGAGGGCATCTCATAAGGATGCCTCCTGGGTGAGGTGTTCCAGGCATGTCCCACTGGGAGGAGGCCCCAGGGCAGACACAGGGCACACTGGAGAGTTTATATCTCTTGGCTGGTCTGGGAACGTATTGGTGTTCCCCTGGACAAGCTGGAGGAGATGGCTAGAGAGAGGGAGGTCTGAGCTTCTCTGCTGATGCTGCTGCCCCCGTGACCTGGCCCCAGATAAGCAGAAGAAGATTGATGGAAAGATGACTAACATTGCTTTAGGTTAAATATTGCTACTTTTAATTGGATACCAAATTAGGGAAAGTTCTTCTATGTCTTATTTATATTAACTAAGTTGAGCTTTTTTCATCATTCTGAGCCAGGAAAATATGCTTTCTACCAAATATGCATATTTTGATCCTATCTGAATTTGCTACTAAACAACTGTGATAAATCATCACCAGTGAGAAGAAAGCTAAACCACAAGTGCATCTTTAAAGACACATAAGGAACGATCAGGATGATTGAGGTTTCCATTTAAAATTTCTCCCTTTTATACATAACTGAAGTTCTGTTATGAATTTTATTCGTTTAGAACAAATTCAAATAAATGTCCATTTTCCAACATTCTTTACATTTCTAAAGAATTTAGCACATTTCATGTTCATTATATACAGAAGTCAAACAGTTTAATCACGTCTATTGAAGTATAATAGTCAAACCTCTCATGGATAAGTTTACCTTAAAGTTCTTATCACCATTCTGACACCAATATGCATCATTTTTAAAGTAAAGTTTCTACTTTGTGATAAAACTCAATAGAAATAGGAGACATAGTAAACTCAACAGTGTCAAGTGTGCTAGTGAGAAGTTACCTTGTCAGAGTGTTTATTGAAAAAGTCTCTTATGTTCATCTTCCTGTGGACTTTTGACTTTGACCTAAATAAAAAGGTATTCACATTATCACTTAGCAAATAACACAACAGCAATGAGACATGATTTATTGTTGAATACCCACATTCTCATCAAGCTCATGTTTGTGATGCATATTTCTTCTTCACAGAAAAACATTTCCGTGTTTGCACATGTATCATGAAGATTGTTCCAATTTAGCATTGCCATATTTTGTCCTTCAGCCCTGCTAGTATGCACTTATGAGTGTGCATACTAGCAGTTGGTCTCTGCTTTTGGGTGGATGGTCAGGATAGAGGCCACTAGGATTGAAGGTAGATGGCACAATCAAGTGTTCCGTCAATGTCTGTTTCTTTAATTTAGGATTGCTAAAATGAAATTGAATGTAAATAACTATTTAAAATGCGTTTTAACAAAGAGGAATTTAAGATGATCATAAACTTTCATTTCACACTTCTTTGGAATATATCTCAGCATTCAAGGGAATTCATTTGCAGTTTATAGTTTGCAGAATATGACCCTAGTAAAATGTTTATGAATCTTTTTCTGTTTGTCTGCTCTTCAAAGCTGATGACAACTGTGGCAAAAGGTTTAATCATACAGGAAATTTTAGATAACGATTAATAGGAGCAGTGTAGCCTTGTAGTATAGGCCATCCTAATCACCACCCTGATGGACATTGTCAGATTCAAGAAATAAAGGTGTCATGACATATCCATGTTAGACAGTGAAGAGCAATGTTTACCTCAAATATGAAAAACCCAATGTGGAGGTTTTGCACCAGGTGACTGTTCCTTTTTTCAGGCTTTTGAATGAGTGACACCATTATGTTTTTATCGCCATCTTTGTCTGAGTAGCCACTGCAAAATTTGAAACGACACTGTGGTTTGGTCCAGAAACTGTCTTTCCTGGGAAAATTAAAAAGTGTTTACTGCAGCCGCCTCTCTATGGCGTGACGCAACCCTTCCCCAGGGTTCTTCCACCACAGATCACACAGGTTGTAAATTTTATCCATTATCTCCCTCCTGAGTGTCTCCTCAGAGTCCGCTGGGTCCATGTGTGGCTGGATCATTCTGTCACGGTCTGTGGTGGCAGACCATGGGTATGTGGCGAAGTAACACCCAAAATGCAGGACTCTTTAATGCAAGCAGTGCGTTTATTTACAGTAACTGATAGCAGTCATGGTTATAAGCTTTTATTACAGTCACTTTATAAATGCCTCTATAAAAGGATTAAGGTCCTTTCAGTTGCTTTGGCAGATGTTTAAACCGCTGTCTCTGGGTAAATTCTGACGAAATTATACCACAGCAGGATATAGTTATAAAACTTTATAGGTGTTTAGTGAAAGGAATGAAAATAAGTCCTCATGTATGAGTGAGTATAGGGCAGCAGAAGTATCAGAGACATTAAGCCAATGCTGGTGGTTCTGTGTGGTGTAGTTCTACTTACCCTGGGAGGTGTACCACAGCCCATCAGTGTGTTTGATTTGCCAGTTCTGCAGATCAGCCTCCACAGGCTTGGACTCAGTTGTGACAGCTCGATGTTAATGTGGACGCCGCCGGTGAAGTCCATCATAGCCTCTGAAGGAGTTCCAGCAATCATGTCGGAGTAGGAGCCACAAACCCTGACAAAATAATAGTTTGTTTGTTTTTTTTACAGATATTTAGAGAAATCACACCTTCAACTCTCATTATGTCTAAGATTAAGACTGCATACTTGGCATAGGCTTTCTCCAGGAGAGCAGGCCAGAACTCATTTTGGTTTTTGGAATGAAAAAGATTAGTCTGCCATTGATTGTTGGTAGTTTGTCATCAATGACCACATCCTCCCACTGCCCAAATCTTCAGAACTGGGGGAAAAAAAAGAATGAATCTAGTTTGCCACTCTTGATTTATTATTCAAAAAATGTCTTGTAGCGTGTTGGGGCTCGACCTCGGTCTGTAAAAGTGATGATAGATGAAATGATGTTTTAGGCCAGGGATTTTATTCCCTTTCAGGCCAATCTATTTATTGGGATGTGTTTAGCAAAATAGCAAGTTACTTCCTCCCTTTGGCCCTAAAAGTTGGAGATTCTGCATTTACGTTGGATGGGCAGCAGGCAAAGGCGGGGACTGTGACTTACTGGCCTCTGGTATCATAAACCAGTCATTTATGAGGTTACAATTACACACAGTTTAGTTTTAACATGAAAATGTGTTAAAATAAAATATAAGCAGTAAAAGAATTTTAAACCATGTAGCACATGCTTGTTAGCTAGTTCATTCTGCTGTGGTTAAAATACAAACAAAAAGCAACATCTCAAACATAAATAAATAAATAAATAAATCGGTGAGTATTTTTGATAGGTGTGTTTTTATTGAACACAAGTAGTGATCAATAAAAATATATCTGTCAAAAAATTATAATCAGATGTGTTGTTAGATGTTGGTATTTACACTGAAGTGAAAAATCCCACAGTTATTCTCATCAGCAGTTTCCTGTTCAAAAATATTCTCATGGTTACTAGAGGAAATCATGTGAGGAGAACAATAAATATATATTCATATATATTCACGAATACATTTCACCTATGAAGTTTCCTTGACCAAAATCAAACCTGGAGACTCCGTCAAGTACAAAGGCTGGAAAACAAACAATTTCCTGAAAAAGGGAGAGTGCTGATCAGAGAGTAAAGCTCTGAAAGTCTTAAAAGAAAGGATGCACATTTCTTTGTTAGTGTATCCTTCACAAAAATGTGCATATATTCATGCACACTGAAATAATCTTTCAATTGTTATAAGAGTCACAATAGCATGTTGAAGACTGTTTTGGTTGAACCACACTAAAAAACATCCCTGAAATCTGTTTGTATTTCTAATACAAGATATTGCTTGTATTAGAAACAGTGTATCAAATATCCAGTTTAAAGTTTCCAGCTGTGACAAACTAAACCAGAAACCTGACTGTGCTGTTTTTGAACTGTGGAATAAGAAATTCTACGTGTAGTGAGACTCAATTTAAATGCAGTGAAAGTACTAAAACTGAATTGCTCTTTTAAAAAATTTGCTCAACATTTTAGTAACATTTTACAATATTAGGATATATACTTCACCTAATATTCACATTTTAGGTGAACCATCAGCTCTACTTTCAAAACGCTCACTACTGGTCTCCGTGCTGCAGCTCGGTTTCAGGGTGTTGGCAAGATTCTTACTGCCTAAGCCATCTTTATGTAAAGTAACAATTCTTTTTTCCCATGATTTTGCTATGGTGTGCCATGTTAAACTTCCAGTGACCAGTATGAGAGAGTGTGGTAGCATATTCAACACACCTATTTCCTATTTGCACCTGGAACCTTGTAACACTCATGAGTCACATTACACTAGGAAAGGAAAATAGCTAACTGGGCACAATTTGGACATTTTCACTTAGGGGTGTGCTCACTTTTGTTGCCAGAGGTTTAAGCAATAATGGCTGTGTGCGTTATTTAAACGGGACAGCAAATTTACACAGTTATAGAAGCTGTTTACTTTAATACATTGTTTCAAAGTGTCATATCTTCAGTTTTGTCCCATGAAAACATAACAAAATATTTACAAAAAATTGTAGGGGGTTGCACTCACTTTTGTGAGATACTGTGTATATGAAATGTACAGATATACAAACCCAGGAAAAAAAAGAAAAAGGAAATAAATATGCAAATAAATAATGTTGTGTGTTTACAGTTTTGGTTATTGCAAAAAAATAAGTATTACATAGTGGTGGTTAATAGTGGGAAGTCCTTGGAGTGCGGGGTGGAACTGTGTTATCAAGGAACTGAAAGGTGGACCCTCTCCAAACACTCCCTGTTGATGCTGAGGAGGACTAAGTGCTGTGCCTCCTGAAATCAACAATGACCTCTTTGGTTTCAATCACGAAAACGCAAACTTGACACAGAGAGATAGACAGAAAGAATATGACACATGAAACAGAGAAGACAGTGACTTAAACTAATGGCCAGAACACCAAATAAAGTAAAGAGAACAAAACCAAGAATAACCCTTAATACAAAATCAACCAAGCACAACTCAAAAACCCAAATAATTCATATATTTAGCAAAACAAAACAGAAAAAGAAAAAGCTGGGTCAAAATTGACCCAGAACCGTGACAGTTTATTTCCTCTGCCAGCTGCACACAGCGCAGCCTCTGTGGTTTATGATGTCTTGTAGGTGGAAACTAGCGAGCTAACTTCCCGCTAAGTTTTAACTGCATTAAATTTAATACATTCGGTTTTCATGGATGCCTGGATGTTAAACTTAACTGTTACCTGGTAAAGCAGCAACGCGTATACCACATAAAATCGATTCGAGGTCAGCAAGCACAACCAGAATTCATACATAAGGTGCATTACTGATTTTTCAATGTTCCTTCATTGTTCCTTCAATTGTTCCTGCAGTCAGCTGAGACTGAAGAAGTCACTTGGATGAGTGACGAAACGTTTCTCCCACAAAACGCTACGTCCAGATGAACAGAATCAACTTTTGGAGATTTACTTTTCTGGATGATTGAGAATGCATCAACCCAATTACTGATTTTTGAGAAGATTAAAGGATTTGAAGTGGGCTTTATAGTGCAAAAAATATGGTAGTAAATCTTTGTTAAGCAAGTAACATCACTATCTTTTACTGCACATGTACACAAGTAAAATTACCTTTTCAGTTAACCGATGAAGTCAGTTTTTATGTGAGTAAATATTTTACTTATCATTATCAAAATAAATGCCAACTACCATGGCAGTCCTGTAAGTGTAATCAGACTTGCTCAAGGTTGTTCAAATATCTAAAACATTTTATATTTAGCAGACAACATACAACAACAGAGTTACATATTTGCACTGAAGTCAAGAAAACTTTTGGGTTATTCTTTCCTCTTGCTTGCTTTTCAGTATCAAGGATTATTCACTCACTGTAACGGTCATGAGAGCTGAAAATGTTTGGCTCTGCCTTCTGATTATTTTCATTCATATGATGTTTTAATAAAAAACAGAAAGCTGTATACAGAACATTGCACCTGTACATTCAGAAGTGAAAGGGACTAACATGACTTGTGTGTAAACACCTATAAAACTAACCCTGCAGGTTCAAGGGTAATTCCAAGGAAAGTGGTGGAGTTTAAGTGAAATTTCCATAGTAAGGTAAGGAGGAGCCACAACCTGTCCTGTCTGATTTAGGGGATTGTGGGCATTATATAAGACTGAAGCCTGTCCACTCTTATCTGCAGACCTGCTCCGTATCTACTAAACAACACGCTTCCTCTTTCGAGACCTGTTCAGGTAAAATGTTTGTTTAACAATTTTAGGACTAATGACTCAAATCAAAGTTATTATAGTTTTTCTTTTTCTGTTTATTTTTAGTGTTAGGTTTTCTTTGGTTTTTATTAGTTTCATAGTAATAGTTCTTAAATATTCTTACTATATGGGCATTTCATTGATACTTTTTTTGTTGCAGTTATTTTCTTTTTCTTTTGAAAGAAAAAAACCTAAACAATGTTTGCATTATTTATATATATATTAATATATTATAATTTGAGCTGACATCTTTTTTTTGTACTGTGTCATTTATTATACTAATCTGTCAAATTTACATGCCAACTTCTTGAAAACAGACACAAAAACTGCAGCAATGCCTCCTCCTGGTGCATGCCTGAACATTATGGAGGCTCGTCACAAGCAGATGGGATATGGGAGCATCTCCAACCCTGAGAAGTTCTTTAACCAAGACTTCAAGAACCTGAAACAGTACTGTCTAACCAAAGGAGTAAGGTACCTCGATGACATGTTCCCCCCTGATGCAAAGTCTGTTGGCCAGGGGATACTGAAGCCCTCTGTCCTGGGCCACGTGAAGTGGCTAAGACCTGCGGTGAGTATTTTAAGATGTTTAAACTGCACATTAGACGCAGTATCACATTACTGCAAAGCAACATTTTTTTCCACCTTTGCCCTACCATATTTGAGATTGTGAAACTATAAATCTTCTCATGACCCAAGAAGTGAAATTTTGACTATAACAGTGCCCTCTAGTGGCTGTGAAAAAGAATTAAATCAATCCTTAAGGATTAAATAAAAGATATTCTATTAAAAATGCATTCTGTTATCCTAAACAACCTGATTAGTTAGTTTGTAATCTAGTTTAAAAATAACATGAAATATTCACATTCTGAAAAGAATCAAAGCCACAAGTTTACAAAATTATGATTATTCTTTCTTTTTCTGACTGACTTTTGATCATGAGCTTCTTTTCACGATAATTATTCAGTTTATTTCATTTTCTGTTATAAAAAAAGTTGTGAATTAGGGGCCATGGAAGAGTTTCATATTTCAAACTGAGACCCAAACCTCTCAAATTTGGGAATGATCAGATACTCCCCGTTTTACAGCAAATTGCTCCTGATGCTGAATTTGTGGTTGATGGCGTCTCCAGATTTGACTTTGGTCAAGGTGTACTTGGTAGGGTCATTTCTTCACTCCTAATATTTACATTCTTGTATCTGCCTACAGTCCTGATTGTTCTTTTTTGTTGTTGTTAACCAGGAAACTGCTGGTTTCTTGCATCAATCGGCGCACTGACTTTCCAGAATCACATTTTTGAACAAGTTGTTCCGCTCGACCAAAAAATCAAAGAGAACTACTGTGGCATTTTTCACTTCAGGGTAAACATCATTAAACTATCAGAATAAGAGAAGTAATTATTATCTTTAACTGTTTTTTCCCCACTAAACTAAAACTTAAAAGCTGTTTATTTCAGAGTTTAGATTATTTTGTCTATAATGATCAAATTTCATGAAACACAACAAGCTCACAAAACAATTGTATCTTTATTTAAGTTCTGGAGATTCGGGCGGTGGGTGGATGTCGTCATTGATGACAAGTTGCCGACGATCAATGGCAGACTAATCTTTGTTCACTCCAAAGATCCAAATGAGTTCTGGCCTGCTCTGCTGGAGAAAGCTTATGCCAAGTATGCAAAGAAACATATGATTTATCCGATATACAGTGAACATGTTACATGTGGGGGATCTGTGAAAAATATTATCTACCTCTGTCAGAGTTTGTGGTTCCTACACCGACATGACTTCTGGAACTCCTTCAGAGGCTATGATGGATTTCACTGGTGGCGTCCACATGTGCGTCCAGCTGTCGGACACCAGTTCAGATGTGTGGGGGCTGATATGCAGAGCTGGCAAGTCCAACACATTGATGGGCTGTGGTACACCTCAAGGGGTAAGCACAAAAAAAATAACAAATAGATAGTCAGAGCAGTAGCTGAGTGTGGCGAGAATAACGCACAGCGGGACCATCTTGAATTTGAGCAGTCTTTATTCAGCACTTCTCACCTCAACACACACCAACCCCTGAGTCCTGTGTTTTAACACGGCGGGCGTGATTGTGGATGTCCTGCAGGTGCGTCCGCAAGGCACTGCTGACCACACCCCACCACATACCACATACAACCCATCGCCCAATTGAGGCCGGGGAGCCATCCGGCCGAACCTACTCCCACCCACCGGCCTCCAACCTGATGACAGGGCAGTGTCTCTTTCGGAGGCCGCCCACGCCTCCAGCGGCGACACTGGTCCGGCAGTTGAATACCTGGCGAACCGGCACAACCCTGCAGGCACAGCCGTGAGCACCTGCTCAAAGGCGGTTGGACACTCGTCCATTGTTCCAGGACAGCTTGCGTCTTGCTCTTGGCCCGAGGTTGTGCAGGTCCCCCTGACACGGGGAGCTCTGTCTCCCTGCGTTGCTCCTCCATCGTCTCCGGCTGGAGCAGCTGCTCCACTGCTCCCGGCTGGACAGGACCCTCGTGCACCTGATCCCTCTCTGGCTCCAGCGGCTCCTCTACCGCTCCCGGCTGGAGCAGCCCGTCATACAGCGGCTCCTCACCCAGCAGGCATGGACCCCCTAGCACCTCGTACACCTCCGGCTGGAGCGCCTCCTCCACCACTCCCGGCTGGAGCAGCCCTTCCCGCAGTGGCTCCTCTACCTCCAGTAGGTGTAGACCCTTGCGTGCCTTTTTTTTTTTGTGTGTCTCGTTTGGATCTTTAGCCATCAGAATTGTTGTTTTAAGGCCAAGAAAGATGCCAAGCGGATTTATTTTACCAAGTGGATCATCATGGCCTTGCCATATTGGTCCATTTGATTGACCTTTATTATAATTATGAATTTCTTTTATTTTCAGTTGCTATAAACGGGACAGACATGACTGGGGGATAGGACAGGGAGAAAGAATGAAAGAAAGAGGGGGAGAGAAAGAAAACCAAAGGGGAGAAGAGACGGTGAGAAGGGGGGGAAGAAAGAAAAAAAACAAACAAACAAAAGAAACAAAACACCTGGGTCACCTGTATGGAGAAAAAAAACAGAAGAGAAAGCAAACAACAAAGAGCAACATAATAAAAAAAAAAAAACAGCACCATCACAATAAACTAGCTAGCAGTAGATATCAGTAGATACTAAATAATAAACGATATTGTGCAGCACGCAAGATAGACAGCGCACAATGTGCTTTGAGGCAGCAGCCAAGAAAGGTGTAGTCCGCGTCTGTGAATACCCGTGTGTACACCTGTGTGGATCAGCATGCTTGCATTCCAAAGGTTTCTCCATGTAACGATCTGCTAGGGAGTGTGGGGAGCCACAGCCCCGTCCTCCAGGGTATGAAGCAGGTATGGAGGAGATCAAAACTCCAGACATCCAGAGGCCCCCAGAACACAAGAGACCAAGGAAGACCAACAGAGGAGCAGCCGCGCCACTGTCCCAGTAAGAGCTGAGGAGAGACCCTCGCGTGCCTTGTCTGCTGCCTTCGGCTGGAGCAGCTCCTCCACCGCTCCTGGCAGTAGCAGCCGCTGCTCACTCTCCTCCGGCCGGCGCGGACTATTGCCCGCCTCGTCTACCCCCTCGGCTGCTAAGCTGCCTAACGCGGCTCCTCCACCGCTTCACCACCATTGGGACACACCTGTGGGGGTGGCGCCCAGGCACAGAGCAGCGCCGCCAGATGCCCAATCCTTTCCAGGTGGTGCTCGGTCTGGTCCTACAGCTCTTCCTGCTGGCGGCGGACCTCCGCCACCGGCTCCCGCTGGATAGCCGCCAAGTCAGCCATCATCTGGGACAGCCCCTCCCTTCCCTGGCTCTGTCATGGGTCTGTTGTGCCGCGTCCTGGGTTTCGGCACCAGTGTGGTGAGAATAAGGCACGGTGGGACCACAGATCTTGAATTTTAGCCATCTTTATTCAGCACTTCTCGCAACAACACAAACCAACCCTTGAGTCCCCATGTTTTAACACGTCGGGTGTGATTGCGGATGCCCTGCAGGTGCGTCCACACAGCGCAGCAGACAATGCCCCACCACACCGAGATGTCAGGCTATTGTGTACTCCACCCAAGGTAGCTGCTAGCTTCAGATTGATTGGATGCTGCAACACATTGGAGAGCAGTAGGCAGTAGTTGTAATCGACCAGCAGGTGGTTGGTTCGAGTGCTTATTCCAAGCGCAGGTCGAACAGGCTATAACATATTCACGGGCATCTCTGTCAAGTATTTAGATGTTTAGCTGATTGCATATATGCCAGATTTTTGTGGTCTGTCCAAACAATAAATGGTTGAGCCATGCTCTCCAGCCAGTGCCTCCATTCCTCCGAAGTGAGCTTGATAGCCAATACTTCCTGGTCTCCCACATCATGATTTTGTTTTGCGGATGAGAGATGGTGAGATTTAAAATTTGTTGAGTGTTTTCAACTCAGACTGCACTTCATTATCAACTGATAAAACTGGTAACATATTCCACGAAAAATATAAAACTAAAGCAATGATGTAATGATAAAGTTACAGTTATGGAGTAATCAACCAATACTGCAAAAATGCAACCCAAGTTAGCATGCACTTTGGGATGTGCTTAATTGGGAATGTAGATTCTGGAACTAGAAGACAGTTTTGACCTATTTGACTCTGAAAGTTGCAAAACTTTTTTGTTAATCGACTGCCAGAAGTAGCTTTATGAAGACAAATAAGTGTGTCGCAAAATGTTGAAATTTGCTTTAAATCAACATAATGAAAAATTTTGCAGTCACTTTTTCCTAATGATATTATTGTATCAGAAGTCTTTTGTCATTCTAAAAAATAAAAATAATGTTCTTTGGTTGTAGGAAACATCTGCTAACACAGTTTTGCCAAATGGACTGGTCCAAGGGCACGCCTACACTGTAACAGGGGTTAAAGAGGTAAAGAATTATACAGTAATCACAGTTATTATTGGAAGTGAATCTACAGTAATAACATTTCCCACAGTATGCAGTTTAGGAAGAATTATAGCAAAAACAGTTTCCTGACATATTGGACAAATATGTTAAAGGGGAGATTTAAAAACCTTTGAGCATACATTCAAATACCATAACAACTGATTTTTCTGTTGCCTGCTGCCAGCTTATTAGCCAAGGAAAAGTTGTGAAGCTGATCCGTTTGTGGAACCCCTGGGGCAAAGGAGAGTGGGAAGGAGACTGGAGTGATTGGTAAGCAGTAATCAGCTTTGGTACTGTTTCATGAAGACATGATGGATAAAATTACATGTTGTAAAAATGTTGACATCTGCATTGTGTACTTGCTGCTCTAAAAGTGACTCAGTTACTCAAGTAGTTCTGGTCTTTAAGGGAAATTTAGTCTGAACTGGTTTTTCCAGTTACTGCTTAAACAAACCGGTGTAATATTTAGTTTAAAATGCAGGTGAAAGTACAACCTTTTAACCTATATTGAGTGTTGGGACTAACGCGTTACAGTAACTACGTTATTATTGTGGTAACGAGCACGGTAACTAGTTATTATGCCAAAATCAGGATTCAATCGTTACTGGGATTTAGATAGGGTCGTTATTCGTTACTTCTTGCGGTGGCTATCGTGGAGCTTCCACAGATTCAGTAACATTAGCAAGTGGAGGAGGCCAGCAGGTGGATGGGGGAAAGGGGAAGCAGGAGAAGCAGAGACCAGAGGCGGCCGACGGTCCGAGTGTCAGGTGAACTGAACTTCAGGTAAGAAGTTATGACCTGCAGCCTATCTGGGTGAGATATAAACCAAGTTTAGGGGTAGTTTATTTTTGTTATGCTGACTTTTTCGTTCTGGGTACTAGCTAGCATGACAGAGTTTCTATACAGCTGGGTGGGTGCTATGATGTTACTGATGTTGAACTTTATTTTGTTCATAAGGTTAATTATTAGAGTTGCCAACCGTGCCATGAAAAATGGAATTGTCTTGTATTCAGAGAAAATATCAAGCGTTTCGTATTGAGGTGAAAAGGGACACAGTTTGTCCCGGACTTCAGCTAGAATGAAAAAGACACAAAGCTGGAGTTATTCTGTGTCTTTGCTGCACAGCTGCCTCTTCTTCTCTCATTCTCACCCCTCCCTCTCCTGTTGCTACTTCAATCATGAAACTGATCAATGATCAGCTGATCGGATTTTCTCTCTCGTTTGTTTATCGCCCGCTTTGCGCCAGAAAGAGGAAACCAGCGGATGTCGCGCTAAACAACAGCAGCACGTTTAAGCTTGATCAGCTGTTGTTAGAATACTTAGATACTTTCTAGTATCAGCTGATGTTTGCTGGAGCCACAGCTGTAAAGCTGCTGGTCATGATATTGGTTTGGTTATGTGGTGAGAGGGAAACATGAAGATGAAACCAGGACATGTCCTTACTGAATCATCAGAGCTGTGATGGAGAAACAGGTTTACCTTTTAGGTGACATGAATGAGTTGAAGGGAAGTTATGAACTGTTTCTGAGAGACAAATAACACCAGGATCCTTTTTTACGTAGCTGACGGCTGGCAACTGTGCAGGGGCGGGTCTAGCTAAGTTTTGCCAGGGGGGCCATGTAGGGCATTAACAGGGAGAGGGGGGCACAAAGAAATACTTTTCTTTCTTATTCTCATTTAAAATATCTAGCTTTTAATGAATAATTATCTCAATCTTACAACAAACAATTGATAGATTGATACATATATACCATCAAAACAGTGTACATCACTGTCACAACAGCGTTTGTTTTCATTCAAAGGCTTTATGATTTTTCCTATAATGGTGGGCCGGTCTCTAGTCAAAATGCCTGGGTTGATTTTTTGTCCCAGTCCAGCCCTGTAAGCAGCTCATCTGCAGTCTGTTGTTACCTACATCTTCCTATTCGGAAGGCAGAATTTCCGAGTTCTGAGTACAATCAAAGCACCACGACTGCAGTTTTTGTGTTGGATGTAAGAAGCGCACATGACGCTGTGACGTAGGCTAGAATCATGGGGGTGCTCAACGACGGCCCAGGCGTGGGATTTCTCTCGTGGAAATATACACATTATTTTTTCCTTTCTGTTGGAAGGTAGCACAGTGCACTTGTGGAAAGTAAGCAAGCTAGAAGACTGGCAAAGTTATGGAAGAAACACATTAACAAGAGAATTCTGAGTAAAACCAAAGTTACTTTCCCTAGTAACTAGTTACTTTGAAAGTAACGAGTAACTTGAAGTAACTGAGTTACTTTTGATAGAAGTAACTATTAATGTAACTAAGTTAGTAATTTAAAGTAACTTACCCAACACTGCCTATATTTACTTAGGGAATATTTTTTCTTCAATACATGCAACTCTAGATAAAAATTACCAACATAATGTGTCATCTCTTACCTAAAATACTGTCTTTAAGGTCCCCCATGTGGAACACTGTGAGTTCTCAAGACAACCAAAAGTGCCTTTCAGTGGCTGATGATGGAGAGTTTTGGTAAGCAAATTTCGTCAAAAGAAAACTACAACCTCTGGCGGAATTATATTAATACCACCAGAAGTTGTAGTTTTCTCTTTTTTTGCTTTATTTACTCTGTACTATGTTATAAGCTTAGTGTTTTATACTTTGACATCACATCTAAATAAATTAGGAATGAGAATCTACCTGATTTTATTAACAGGATGGCATTTGAAGATTTCTGTAAGTTCTACACAGATCTTGACATCTGTGGCCTGAAACCAGACTTCATAGATGGAAAATCCTCTGCTCAGTGGAAGACCTCTGTGTACGAGGGTCGGTGGGTTGCTGGAACTACTGCTGGAGGCTGCATAAATAACAGAGGTAATTATATAGCATATACTGGAATATAGGTGTTTAAATGTTC